GACACGGACGCGTTGGATCGGCCCCCCGGTGGTTTGCCTGCAAAGAGCACAAAACAAGGACGCCATTAAAGGTGAAACGTACGGGATAGGNCGCGTTGGATCGGCCCCCCGGTGGTTTGCCTGCAAAGAGCACAAAACAAGGACGCCATTAAAGGTGAAACGTACGGGATAGGGTTAGCAACACAGTGCAAAGGCACGTTGTGGTGTGATGGCGTGGGTGTTATCTTCACTTTAAAGCGAGGGGTCGCATAGACATAGACAACAGCAGCAAATGGGCGTCAAGTCCCCCGCTCCCTTCTACACGCGATGTCACGCACAATGTAAAAATGGAGCGTCAAAGAAGGTCTTGGTACCCCCACAACTTGAGCCCAACAAACAGATGGAGTCCCTTCCGATTACAACGCATGAAGGGAGTGTTTTGGGGTCGATTCGTTTTCTGTAGTGGAGAGAGAGAGAGACTAGATAGATTGGACAAGAGAAAGGGAGAGTCTGGTGAAGGTGATAAGAGTGTTGGAGTTGTGTTGGGATTTTTCTTGATTGGTTTTGGAGGAGTTTCAGTTGTGTTTGAGGTTTTTTCTTGTGATTGTCTTCGAGGATTTTTTCTTGTTTTGGAGATGATGGTAAAGAGGGTATGATTGTTTTTTGCCGAAGCATGACGATGCATACGAGCAGGGGGGCTATTCGATATATTGGGGGTACTCGTAGCATTGTATGACGGGATATCTTCGATACGCACGTACGGAAAATGCAGTGATGAGATGCGGAGGAATGAGAACTTTCTGGGTATTTTCCTTGGAAGTGAGAAGAGTTTGATGGAGGTTCAGAGAGATCCGTTTGGTAGTTTGAGCGTGATGAGCGTGACGCGTGCTTGATGCCGTGATTGATTTACGAGCGCGAGCACGCCCCCGAAGAATACAATACGCTTTCCCAACACGTCCGTACCCATCCACGTCCCGCCATGGGCTACCCGCCCTACACTCCAAAAACAAAGAACTGAGCCACCCGAATTACCGATCACCCACATCTGCTTGACGTTCCCCTCCAAGCCTCCGTTGGCCTTCTGCACTACTTCGTCCCAAATACACTATTTTCTTCTTTTTCACTAGTAGTCGCTTCACCTGTTTTCTCTTGTCCCTGTACTGTTCCCAACTCTCCTCAGACGCCTCACTCAGGTACTGCATGAAGACTTCTCTGCGTTCCCCTATTTCTTCTTTCAGCTCGTCATCCCACCACTTAACCGATACCCCACATCGTACCACCTTCTTTCCCACTACTCTCTCTGTCGTTGCGTTCACGATGGACTCCCACCCTTCAATCACCCTGTCCCCTGCTGCTTGTACGTCTACCTGTCCGTCTTCGACGCTTCTCAGCAGTTTCCCGAAGGGCTCTAGTAGTGGCGTTGCGAGGGGGGGGGTCTTTCTAGTGAGCAGGGCTAGACTCACCCTCAAGAGACCGATACCTTCTTGCTGCGGCGCATCCGCCGCGAGGCGTGCGTGGTGGTGGAGTTGGGTCGGCACTGGTGCGTCAGGTACAACGGTGCAGATGCGCGGGCCTCCATGGCCGTCAGTGTAGGCAGCAATGCCCATCTCATCCTTGTGCGCGGAGGCAGACGCCATCAGAAAGGTGGACGGGCATTATGTACACGGCCCTGAGATTGCTAGGTGGAGCTGTACTGTCTCAGTAACCTGGTTTTGCCATCAAAGGAGGAGGGACAGACAGGTGGTGACGAGCTGATTGGGCTAGTTGACCCTCCGGCGCGAGAATTTTCAGACCAAGAACCCTTAGACTAGTGCAACGAGGGAGAAAGCGAGGAACCGACAGGGAAGGACAGCAACGAGAGCGTGTACGAAACGAAGCTGGTCGAGTTTGGTCGTGCTACGACTGGCCACAGCGGCACCGGAGAAGCGGCACCGGAGCAGCGGAACCGGAGCAGCGGAACCGGAGCATGCGGACGGCATCGAACCGTGATGGCGCACAGACACGCATCTCTTGTGTTGTCAATTATTTTCCGTTTTTTTCCTGAATATTGGTGTTGGGTGTGTGTCATGACGTCGCTGGTTTGTAGAGAGACGCGGCAGAGATGGCGCGGATAACCCGGGTGCCTTAATTGTGTACCCGCATCGTGGAAGACTCCTTCAATCAATGTGGAACGATTCCTAGTCAGTGTCGATGTTCGCACTGCTGTCTCTGACACAGATGATCTGGATAGATTCGGGTGATTGTCAATTGCAATGATGGCTGGTTGGTCGTTCTTTTTCATTGTAATAGTTTTTTTTGAAGAGAAGTGCCCGATAGGGACGTTTTTTGTTTTCAAGAAAAAACTGTTTAGAGGGGGGGGGCAAAACGGGCCAAGTAAGTCTGTCTGTGACCAGCCTCGATATTACCCAGCAGATTCCAGCCCATTTCACCATCTCGGCACCAAATTGCAATCTAAGACGTGTTCACAACAAGTAATATTTTGCCCGAGCTGTCCCAACCGCTACCTTTGCANGGGGCACTCTCTCCTTCCGCTCTCTCTCCCTTCGTGCCTTCTCTATCGCGTGCTAATTCAACCAGTTAAACAGCAGCCCCAAGTCCGCACGGCAAGTACTGTTGCCAGAGCTCACGAACATGCTAGCGCTTCTTCCCGGGAAGATCTGCTTTGACAGAGCGGACCATGGCGTTGAATCAGGGTGACGCCGGGGTTCCAGCAGCCAGCGTCAACGACGCTGAACTGGACGCTCGGTTGACTGGCATGGAACAGCGGTTAGGCGAAGCGATGGAAGGCAGGATGCAAGCCATGATGAGCCAGGTGATGAGCCAGCTTCCATCGTTGATGAGGGGAGCGTTGGATGTTGGAGGTGTTCAGCAGGAGGAGGAGTCCGGCGGTGACGTAGGGGCATCGACAGGGGCCAGCGGTGACGCTACCGCCCCGAACAGCAGCCAGGGGTCCGCCGCGACGGGCACAGTGGGTGTAGGCGGCTACGGCAGAGGATATGGCTCCCAAGGTGAGGCAGCCGCAACCGGCGGTGGCGTTGGTGGTGTTTTCGTCAGCGGTGATGTCGCTGGTGAGGGTCTTTTCACGGGAGGCGGCGGAATTTCGAAACTCGCCGCGTCTCACGTAAACCCACCACAGCTCAAGAAAGGGGCCGAGCAGTACCCGGGGTGGAGGCAGGATATGATCGTGCAGGCAGGCATTCTCGACATAGGCGATGTGTTCTCCGGCGGCGGGGTGCTGCCGGACATCAACAAGCCACAGACCGCCCTTCTCGAGCAGGGGTTTTCGTACGCAGCAATCCGCAAGACGTATCTGGCGTGGAATTTCCTCTGTGCCGCAATGCCTACTGAGACGGACAAAGCCATCCTCCGTCGTTGCACGAACCCAAGGGAAGCCCTGCGGCAACTAGATGCGGCATACCTGCCGGAGACACA